TGGGAATCAAGAATCAAGAAAGCACTATCTTCAAAGAAATCAAAAACCCACCCACTAATTGCAACCACTGATCAATCAAATTGAACCATAGTTAAACCCTAGAAATTGCAAATTGGGAGTCAAGAATCAAGAAAGCACCATCGTCAAAGAAACCAAAAACCCCCAAATCTCTTCTGATATGGGTATTTCAAAAAGCTTCAAGAAATCAAAAACCCATGATCGTTTTGATATGGGTATCTCAAAAAGCTCGAAAGAAATCAAACACCCACAATCTTTTCGATATGGGTATTTGGAAAATAATCGAAGAAAGAGGTACCTAATCGATGAAGAAAAAGATCAACAACCACCAAAGAACGTATCGACTACTCAAATCGGGAAGTGGGTATAGTTTATGAATGAAGTCAAGTGGGAACAAATCTTGTATTATTTACATGTATGATGCCGTTCAAAAAAAAATTACATGTATGATGATGACGACGACAACGAAACTGATCAAAAGTAGAAGGAAATAAAACTTGGTCTTACTTCGCACAAGAAACTGATCTGGCTGTCGACTTCCATCCCGGTTAGATTAGGTGAAGAAAAGACTATTCTTTTAGTATTAATTAATTAATAAAAAATAAAACAAATTATATGAAAATGTAATGTATTTTAACTTGATTTATATTTTAAATAACATATTTTCAAAGCTTCTATTTTGATACCTAAAATGTAGTGTTTTAAACTTTTGAGTACTTGGATAACTAGTTGAAGTATTAAATAGTTATCATGCTGATGTTGTGAAAGATGAGTTGAAATTAAGTTGAATAACAAAGTAGATAATAGAATGAACCATAAATTAGAATTAGAGTTGTTTATGGATGGAATGACCCGTTATGCCCGGCCCGCTAGAAAAACGGGCTTGGATTACCATTCTCGAAGAAATAGGCGGGTCTGGACTAACTTATTAAAATTAATGGATGGACATGGGCAATGAAAAAAAAAATTAGTAGGGCCGTCAGACCCATTAATATTTTTATAATAATTACTTTTTATAACTAAAATTTTCAAATAAAATTGAAGATTCTTATTACTTATCAATTCTTACTTAATTATCATTTATGAAAATAATATTTTTTTTTAAATCTTAAAATTATTTCAATTGATCAATTATGTATTATCTCAATTAGTCATTTTCTTTATCGATATTTCATATTTAACGAAATAATTTCCTTCTAAAGTATGTATATTGTTATGTATTTACGTCAAATTTTAAGATGGAAAAACTGTTATGTATTTTGAATTATTTTACATAACTTGTGATTTTATATGAGTTTTGTTTTCATGAAAATATATAAGATTTTTAAGTCCGTTAGCCTGTGGACAAGCGGGACTCGTTTATAGGACAAGTATGGGTAAGTTTTCAAGCCCGTAAAAACGAGCTTGGTTTTACCATATTAGGCCCGTTGGACAAAAAAAAAAGTTAAGTCCATTAAGAGTCATCATCAGAATCGTTAAGAGATGAATTTTATTTACCAAAAAAAATTCTACCTCTTAATGGTTCTAAAATCCTCTTAGGGGTTGTTTGCTTACCTTTTAATAGTTCCATTAAGAGGCAACATCTGAATAGTTAAGAGTTGAATCTTGTTTGACAAAAAAAAAGTTTGTCTCTTAATGATTCTAAAACCCTCTAAACGATTTTGTATCCTGGACCTCTCTTAACCATTCAGCACCTTAATTTAATTGTAAACAATTACCAAACAATTATATTTCACTTTACACTATATCAAAAGAGTCTCTTAATTATTCTGACCACTTAATCATTCTGCACCAAACCATTCAGCAACTGTCAAACAACCTCTTAATGATTTTGCATCATTGGCCTTCCTTACACCATTCAGCACCCTAATTTCATTGTAAACAATTACTCAACAATTATATTTCATTTTATATTATATCATAAGAGTCTCTTAATCACCACTTAATCATTCTGCACCAAACCATTTAGAAATTACCAAACAGTCTCTTAAATATCATTGATAAATATTTATATAATAATTATTAAGGATTATATATTTAAAAAGAAAATCCAAAATTAAATAATGGTGCATAATTGATGCCACTAAGACAACTCCAACCTTTTGCATGTGAAATCATTTTCTTCAGATTTTAATACCAACCAAATAAGGAATTAAATTAATTTAATGTATATAAAATTAAAAAATATTAAAAAAAAGTATTAACCGTCACAAAGCATCCACAAGTTTCTGTTTAGATTCTTGAACCTTTACGGTGGGACATAGGTGTTTGAACAATAACACAAGTTTTTGTATATTTTTCTTTTCTGTTATTATTTTATTTATTATTTCTTACTCATTTTATTTTGTTTTAATAAATTCATAAAATACATAAGTTAAAATTGATGACACAATTAAAATTAATTATAATAAAATATTTCTTTCATTTTTTTTTTTTGTATTTTTCGTTTCTTGTTAATTTTTATACAATTAGTTATATTAATAACTTTAATTTTTAATTATCTCATATATATATATATATATATATATATATAGGGGCCTAATCAAATGAGAATTAATTAGTTTCTGGTAACTGTGAGAACCAATATTAAACACAAATCAATAGATAAATTAGGAAATTTATAATTTTGGCAATTTTGAATTAAAATATTAATGCAAGGATATTTTGGTATTTTAAAACCTTCCTCCCTCTTTTCTTCTCTCTCCGGCCACCGTCCTCCGGTGATACTACAATGGTATCACAATACATCATATATGTGCTTGGGTATCAGATTGATGTCGTTTGTGTGGTCGATCGAAGATGTAACACAATGGTATCACTATGCATCTTATATATGATTAGGTATCACAATGTATCTTTTGTTTAACAGAGTCAATATTTTTAGGTATCACAATGGTACCATAGTGGTATCACCGGAGGACGGTGGCCGGAGGCCGGAGAACGGTGGCCGGAGAGAGAAGAGAGGAGAGAGGAAAGTTTTAAAATACCAAAAATATCCTTGCATTAAGATTTTAATTTAAAATTACCAAATTTATAAATTTCCTAATTTATCTATTGATTTGTGGTTAATATTGGTTCTCACAGTTAACACAAACAACTCAGTTCTCCCTTGAATAGGCCCCTATATATATATATATATATATATATTATATAGGTTTTGGTTTACGTTAGACCAGTCTGTTTTTATGAGACTCGTGAGACCACTTTTTTACAATTGAAACTTCACAGCAAAACGATGTGAAGGTAAAAAAAGCCGAACTTTAACAGCAAAAACACTGTGAATGTTACATTCACAAAAACACTGTGAATGTTACTTTCACAGCAAAAACAATGTGAAGGTTACTTTCATAGACAAAACATTATGAAGGTTACTTTCATAACGTTTTGCTGTGAAGTTTCAAGTGTAAGACAGTGGTCTCACGAAAACATACTGGTCTCACGTGATCCCAAATCGATATGTATCACCATATGAGTAATTCCTCACACCTTTCCTTCAAATAAAATGGAAAAAGATATTGGGAATCAAGAAGGCTCTCAAATGCCCCTAAACTCTTCATACTCCCGACATTCTCCAAGACCTATGAATTTTCCAAATATTCCTGCATTCCACAATATCCTAAAAAAATTACATTATACAATATCTTCAATGAAATCTATTATCAACTCCACTTCGACTTGGTTGGCATCATATGCAAAGCATAGACAATGTGCAAGAAACATTTATACTGATTTTTGTAAAAAATTTAATGGTGTTGAGTACAGAAACAATTTTTGGACAATAGCTACATCCACTTTTGAGGCATATTTCATGCCATATATGGAAAAGTTTAAGATACAAAATCTTGATGCATATAATCACTTGATTGAAAGGGACCTTAGTACACGCCTACACGGTGTAGGGCATTTTTCCAACCCGATAGAGCTTATGAAGTCGTAGAAAATGGGATTTGTGAGTTATTTAATTCAATAATTGTTGATGCAAGAAAAAACCCCCCATAATCACAATGTTAGAGGAGATAAAGATATTTGTTATGGAGAGACATTACAGAATGTTAAGCAAAACACAAGAATGAGAATCAGTTGTTTGTCCGGTCATAAGAAAAAAGTTAAAGAAATAGGGAGAAAATCACAGGTATGTTTATCAATGATGGCAATTTATCGTGTATGATTGTTTATGATGGTAATATGATCTTGTATGCTAATGTATTTCTTTTTCGTATGTAGATATTGGTTTGTTATCCTTAGTGGTGGGACTGTGTTTGAAACACGAAATGGTTATGAAACAATGGTGGTAGACTTAGATACTAGAAAATGTAGTTGTAGATTATGGGACATATTAGGCATTCCTTGTGTGCATTGCATTCCTGCCATACACTTTATCAATAAGGATCCAGAAGATTATGCTAGTAAATGGTTTATTAAGGATCTCTTCAAAATGGCCTATGAGAATACTATAAGACCATTGAATGGGAGCAACATGTGGACTCCAACACCTTACATCAAACCAAACCCACCTAAGGAGAGGAGAAATGCCTGATAGACCATCCATCAAAAGAAAACGACCAGAATCTGAGAGCCAAGGTATAAGAATGACTCAATCTGGGAAGGCAATGACATGTAGCAATTGCTTGAAAACGGGGGAATAATGCTAGGACTTGTAAGAATGAAAAGAAGAACCCACCACCTAAACTTGTTAAGCCAAGAGTTAGACCAAGACTCAACATTCCAAAACCGACTTTAACAAGAAGAGCCAATGGTGGTGGAAGAGGCAATAGAGGTGGAAAAGGCAAATTAGGTGGGAAGATACCATCATATGTATGGATCTCTTATAATCCAATCACGGGAGAAGCAACGATTAGGGTAAGCCATTATTTATTTTTTAGATTCAAATAACATTTTTAATGACTATTGTTTACACTTTATCTTCATCATTAAAGACATCCTCAGGTGTGCCACAACCAGCATGACCCGAAAGCATCCTACCGTATTCAATTTCAAGAGAGGTTGTTAATGATGAAAACCATGACGAAGGTGATACTACTGTTGGTGATGAAAAACATTATGAAAGTGATGATGTTGTTGGATATCAAGAAGGGTTAAAAGAAATTCAAATCGTTATATCTCCACCATAAATTAATGATGCAAATGAAAAATAGTTCATACCATGATCTTAACATAGATTAGGTATTACTTTGGTATATTTTAGCGCAACTTTTGGTATATTTTGACACAACCTTTGGTATATTTGGCGCAATTGTTGGTATTTTTTGGCATGGGCCAATAGTTTTCATTTCCCATCGAAAACCCTTTTCGCTCCTCTTAGTCTTATTCCTCTCTACGAGTATTTTAGTGATAGGTTCAATAGGAACTGAACGATCTTATTTGGTCAAATACCTAGCAAAAAACTCCTACCTTCCTTTCATTACAGTATTTCTGAACAAGGTCCTGGATGACAAGTCTAAAGGTTTTAATGATATCGATATTGATGAGATTGACTATATTAGTGCCAAGTGTTCTCTTAATATATAATAGCAATTTTGATTAGCTTTTTCAATTATTTCCTCTATTAAAAAAATCCCACAAATACTTAAATAACAACCCATTATTATTATTAATTATTTAATTATTAAAATATTATTAATTATTAAATTATAATTTATTATTAATTATTAAATTATTATATACACTTGTTCAAATACTTGAAAGAGAAATTGGACCTACCCACAAAAGCAAAAGAGAGAACCATATGCTGTGACATTAATCATATGATACTACTTCTATAATGGGGTTCTTTGTCATATCCAACTTACCAAGATTCCACACACATTAAACTGTGACAAGACATAACCAGATAAAAATGCATTTTTTTCTGTTCAAAAAAAAATAAATGGAACAAAAATTTAGATGAGACAAAATTGATAAATTATTAAGGGACTGTTTGGCAATTGCTGAATGGTTTGGTGCAAAATAATTAAGTGGTCAGAATGATTAAGAGGCTCTCATGATATAGTGTAAGATGAAATATCATTGTTCGGTAATTGTATACAATGAAATTAGGGTTTTTAATAGTTAAGGGAGATTCAAGATACAAAATCATTTAAAGGGTTTTATAACCATTAAGAGACATACTTGTTTTTGCCAAACAAGATTCACCTCTTAACGATTCAGAGGTTGCCTCTTAACGAAACTATTAAGAGGTAAACAAACAACCCCTAAGCTATCCATGTCTCATGGTTAGCACAACATTAGACTGGGTCACTAGGACAAGGACCAATGGAGGAAAAAAAATGCAACAAAAATCGAGATAAGACAAAGATCGGTAAATTACGAAACTACCCGTGTAAACCATCTACTTCACTCTCGCTCGTTCAGTACAATCCAGTTCAGTCCTATATGCGTACGATATGTATCTTTAGGTAAATAGTCAATATCTCACTTCTTACTCTGAGGTAAGGTCCGACCTGTAAGGAGATGAGATGTATGCAGACCTGAACTCTACTTCAAAGAGTAGAACGATTGCTTATATGACAAACGTTAAATCACAAATTGCTACATAGCATAAAGTTCAAAAACTTTATAAACTAGAGGGAGGTTGGACACGAACCCGCGTAGTATGGTCGGCCGTATATTAGAAAACCTTCGGGAACTTTGATCAAAAAGAATTTACTGCACATTTTAAACGTATCTCGAGTATAGTACACGACAACGACCATATATAACCTATGAACAAAGTTCCAGGCTAAAACGGTTCTGTAACAAAGCAGTTTCAAAGATACACTGCCTCGATTATGTAAAAAAAAGTTTCAGGTGGCAAGAATCGTTGTTTCATAAGCTAGATGAGATAGAATCGAACCTTAACGATCGTGATATAGCTCGCGCAAGATGGGCGCTTTCACGTTCTCCATACCTGGGCCGAGCCATAGTTCCTGTTATATCTATTCATAATGAATATTGATGCCAAAATATACCTTCGTATGGCTCTCGATGCACGTCTTCTTTGATCCCAAGTGGGAAAGCAGCAGATCGAGTTCCATTTGCCAATTTAACCGTTTCCCGTTTCTCTATTCATAATGAATATTGACAAAATTGCTTTTGAGTTTTGGGTCTCTTCCCAATCTTTTTGTTTATGCACACAACTCTGAGGAAAAAACCACTACTCCAAGATGTGACAATTCTTGACAAAATCGTTGGAGTAATTGACGTATTTAGACCAAAAAGGGCGAAGATGCTCGAACCCTATCTCTAACCATGGTTTTGACTGACCGTTGTAGTGAATTACAGCAGCCTTCTTTACACTCTCGATGCTCGTTTTGCTCTGGTACCCCAACCCCAGAAGGTGCCAAGATGGGTCAATGGGTTGAACGTGACCTCTAAATGCAATAAGGGCGGGGGGTAGAGTTCCGAGCCTCCATAATGTCAAATTCGACTTCAAGTTCTGCAAGCAGAAAAAAAGTCAAAAATCTTTACATTTTGCTCAACAAATATGAATGCTTTGATTTGATTTGGTTTGGTTATATATGTACGTAGGGTCAGGCTGAGGAAAAAATGCAAAAAAATGAAAAACCGAGGAGCACCTTGGTAAACTATTCATCCGCACAGTATGCACATGTGCATACAAGTAATATATAAGCAATTTGTCCGGTATGCACATGTGCATAAAAAACAAAAAACAGCTTCAATTACTTGTATGCACATATGCATACCGTACAGATGAATGATTACCGGCTTGTTCTTCAGTTTTTCATTTTTGGGGGTTTTTTCTTTGAACCTCCCTCTATCTATGTATATACATATATCTATCCATGTGAATAATTGTATTGCAACATGGAAGAAATAGAAGATTATTGGAAAAACCTCATTTGGTTAGTCATAAGCTAACTTCAATAAGCTCCAAGGGCTTTTTTCCCGTGGCGGACCCAAATTTTTTGTGTAGGTGGATCAAAGGACTGCAAAGTCACGTGATGCGTTTTTAGCCGAATTCCATGGTTTTAAGGGATTTTTTTGGTTTGTTGGTTGATTTCGAGGTACTTTTTCGGTTTTTTGTTGATGTTCCTAATATTTTATAATATCACGGAACACCACTTAAAGTTTAGTATGTGCACCCTTCATACCTCAAAAAGAATCCCACGTTTGGTCCGCCCTGCTTTTTTCAAATTATTCCCCTTATATTGTTCAATTTAATTTAACATGGCCTAAGCCATATTACATTGTCATCTAGCGTATCAGCTCGATTTTATCAAATATGACTACCAATAGCTAATTTGTCAGCTAGTTTGCTAAACATAGCCTTAAGGGTGCATTTGGCATCCAGGACAGAACATGACAGAACAATGGTTCAACGTTTGGTAAAACAGAAAATAACAGGACAAAACAGATAAAATGACCAATTTACCCCTAATGAGTTGTTTATATATTTTGATTAATTATGTAATTTATTAAATTATAATAAAATAAATATTTTTTTAACAAAATATATCATTAGAAAGTTTCGTCAAAACAATTAAAATAACACCAAAATAAAAGTTTATGTAGTTTCCAGTTTTAATTTTATACCTTTTCTAGGTTAATTTTTTTTATAGTTAATAAATTACATAAATTAATCAAATACAGAAATCGTATAAAAATAATATTTTGAGGACAATAAAATGAAAAGTTTAAAGAACATAAAATACAATAAATAAAATTTAAAAAATGAATAAAATGTAAAAAGGAAGGCGTATTTGATGTTTTAAAAGAGAATTATGTTCTATTTTGAGATTATATTGGTAAAACATAGGTCTATTCTATCTTGTTCAACTTGTTCCATGGGGTGAGGGTGGAATACGCCTGATCCATTTTGTTCCTCTCTATTCCACATAAAAGTTCTGCCAAACGTGGAACATTGATCCCTGTTTTGTTTTGTTATGTTCTGTCCATTGTACCAAATGCACCCTAATTGACAATTTCAACACATTGGCTTGAACGAAGAAAAATAAAAAAGTTGGAAGTACAATTTACCTCTTTCAGCCATGTGTGATATGTTTCTCTAATATTAGTCTTTCTCCATGCCCGCAAGTCGAAGATATTCATCCCATAAGCCCAAGCACATTCCTCCGGGTCTAAACTTCTCGCTATCAACGGGTGAGAAAAGTTGAAGTAGGTTCTAAACCGCTTAGACATTACCCACGAGTCTTCGCCTTGGCAAGTTTCCACAGCTCCATTGACTTTTCCACCAAGATCAAGTTCCCAAAGTGTGGATAAATCACGTTGAATCACGACATCATCATCCAAGAAAACCACTTTATCAAGGTTGGGGAAGAGCTGAGCGGAATACGCAAAAGATTTATATCAGAGATGAACAAAAATGACGTGGAAAACGCAAACAAATATATGAAATGTACCAAGCTATTAATATATATCCTACCCTAATTAGCACAAAGAAATGTCAGGTTCGTGCCTGAAGTAGGGATGGCAAAAAAAACCCCACACCTGATGGGGAACCCGACCTCGGTGAATCCTCGAGTTGACCGAGAATGGGGCCGGGATGAAGGGTACTGACCCCGGCTATTAATTATACATTTCTATGTGTGTGTGTGTGTATATATAGATATATCAACTGTAATAATATAGTGAGAAACCCAATGAGTATATATAATGTATAAATATAATCAATCTTCCATGATGAAAACTTGTAAAAGATTACATTATTGATTTGGTTGTTCATAGAAAACTTCTGTTGATATAATGATGTGAGAATATAAAATTTTCAATTATTAAGTATTGTAATTGATATATTTGTGTTTGAACTACGTTTTTAATGTTAGCCTTGTACAAGTGCAACAATTAAAGTTTCAGTTCAGGTAATTAATATTTTAGCATTATATGTCGTTTAAACATTAAATTGGCATTTACATACATAATATATAAAAACATTACATAAAATTAAATTGTATAGACACAGAAAACCCAATTCCTAGATGGGGAGCCCCATTCCCCGATGGGGATGAAATCTTATTCCCCGACGGGGATTGCGATCCCCGATACCCCTGACCCTGTTGCCATCTCTAGCTGAGATTGGAACAGATCCCCAGAATTTTGGGGCCTAATTATACATGTTTTGGGCTTTTACTCTTTTAACCAATTTGGCGACTCTAGATTTCGAAAAATGTTAGAAGAATAATTCTATTTAAGTGAATTTCATATGTTACTTTGTCATAGATGGTATAAACTTCTACATTTTGTTTATTTATTACTCGTCCAGTTGATCTATAGTCTTGGTAAATGTGTAGCAAGGTCTCCAAAAAGATTAGAACGACCTCGAGCAATGCTAAACCTCCAAAAATGAATCTATACATATAGAGGGAGGTTCAGGGGAAATACCCCAAAAAAATGAAAAACTGAGGAACACCCCGGTAACCATTCATATGGACGGTATGCACATGTGCATACAAGTTATTGAAGTTATTTCTTGGCTTTTATGCACGTGTGCATGTTACTGTCCAGATGAACGTTTACCAAGGTGTTCTCTAGTTTTTTTTGTTTTTTTGCGGTTTTCCCCTTAAGCTGACCTATACATACATACATATATACATACACATACATATATATAAGTTCCTATCCCACGTCCTATAATTAAAGAGAAGGAAAAGCATGTGTACCATCTAATTATGATTACCTCTGGCAAATATATGCGAAGATGATTCAGCAATGATATATATTTGGGGCTTCTAGCCTGCAATTTGGAGGCAAATGATCTTGGAGTGGTATCACTAAGATTGGTTCCCACTACATGATTCCCATGGTAGTAATTCCGAACTCCGTTATGATTCTCCACAGCTTCAAGAACAGGAATGTTGTCTCGGGTCAACCAGTCAAACTGATGAACACCTTTCACTTCAATGATGGCAGGGGGAGACGGGTTTAAGGCAAACCAAGAGTGCATACCTGCATAAGTTTTCTTGTCGGTGATCACATGGAAGACGATTTTCTCAGGTGTTATAGACGATTGGACGGCAGAAGTGACCACAACTGAAGCCGCCAGGATATTGTCAGTTGACAAGATAAAGTGGTAGTACGAGTTGTCGGAAAGAACCGGAAGAAATTCCGGTGACGGCAACTGCCGCCGTGCATGAGCATTGGAAGAGTATTCATCAGTCAACCGTAAGGAGAGACAATGGATGCCCTTTGGAACAGAACTTGCTGCAAAGTGTTTATTCACTAGTTCTGCGAATTTAGATTCTCTAATCTCCTTTTCAGATCTCTCCATCTGTCAAATTTCAATAAGAAAAAAAAAACTTAGCTCGATAAGGAGCAGAGAGATAGCAGATCCATTATGGAAGTCCGAAAAAATTAAAAAAAAGAGGTTAATTTCAGAAAGGAAAAAAAAACTTGCTCCCTGGTGATCACCAGTTTGGGTCCCCTCAGGACCACACGGGCGAACACACTATGGTGCATAAGGGTGGCACGGGCCACAGTTACGTTCCTCTGTCGTAGAGTAAAAAAAATAGGGTCGTGAAAGGTGTCAACGTATTATTTTGTTGGGTGCAACAGTATGTTTCTTGAAACTACAGTAATAGCACAAGTTCTTCTTGGTAGAGTCGGTTTACATGGTCCTTCTGCCCCTTCCAGACATGGGTTTGAATCCCATTTGTATTATTTTCTTAGTTTTTAGCATTTAATTTCAGGTTTATTATGTTTCTGAATTTTTTTGGGATAAAAGACTCGAACACAAGACCACACATAAAAAACAAGGAACTAACCAACAAACCAATGGTGATTTAGTGAAAATATCCATAACTTCGTTTTTTATAGTCAAATAGTGCCACTACTTGAAAAAATTTCTAGGTCTGGCACTGCCTCTCTACCCCTCGGGGTGAAGGTAACGTCAGTGTACATCCTATCCTCACCAGACCCTACCCCTATGTGGTTCGTTTGGTTTGTTTTTTAAATCACTCTAATTTGGAAGTCCCGGGTCAAGTTAGGAATACTACAAGTGATCCAATAGTTCTAATTTAACGCAGGTAATCCTAGTGTTTAAGGATCAACTTATGTCAGGGCACTCCAAGTCTCTTTAGGGCCAAAATGGTAGTGAAGAAAAGTGATATGGATTCTAGGATCAAGCTGCCTACATGATTCAATGTTATAGTATTGAACACCGTTCAAAGTACAGTATTGTAGAGTGAGGGGAAGCAGAATGTGAGGAGCTTGTGGATCAATTTAAATGGTGCAAAAGCTAAGAACAAGGATCTTCCTCATTTAGCACGAGGCACACTCCCAAAACAACCTGAACTGAAGATTATAACCACATTAGTATTTTTATGTGATGAGGGTAGAGGTCAGGTCTGCGTACGCCGTACATCTTACCCTCCCAAACCCCCCCCCCCCCTTTCGGGTATAGGCATGGGAATGAGACCCGCCCCATTGGGGAGCCCGGTGTCCCGACGGGACCGGGTGGGGATCCCCAAAAGTTAAAACCCGGAGATGGGGAACGGGACCGAGTAACGTGATCCCTGACCCGCCCTGTCACTGTATATTAAATATATTATATATTTACTATTAGATATATTGTATCTTTATTATTGAATATAATATTTATAACGAATTAGATTTACTTCTTTTAGATTTAGAAATAGTATTTTGACCTTTCTTCTTCTTATACATGATCAAACAATTACGTATGATAATGTGACTTTGTTAACATATGAATGTTTGGTACTCCACAAAAGCAAAATTTTGGAAATATGTGAGATTTAAACATGGACCATTTTGGATCCATTGTGGTGTTTAACACATTTGATTTAACATATCTCACATAAAGAAGAAAAAAAAATCCCCGATTTCCATGGGGCGGGGATGGGGATCGGGGTCCCTGCCCCATTCCATGCCTATTCAGGTGGGATACCGGGCTCGTTTGGTTTGTTTAATTAATTCTTTTTTCCAAAAGATATGCTAAATCCGTTTTGTGTTCAGTATAGAAATTACAAAAAAAATATGGATGCCATGGTGAGTAGACATACCATTCCTTTCAATATAATAGCGAATTCCTTTGCATTATATTTGCTGCTTTTCATTTCTGAAACAAGCTGTGTGAAGTTATCAGGGAGCTTTATGCCATCCGGGACTTCTATAGAGTTCACTTGATTAAGGTTCTTGTAAAGTTCGCTAACAAGCCTCTGCTTCAGCCATCATAAAAATGTTAAAGTTATTAGATAAACGAGCCTCGAATAAAACTAAATGATGAAGAGATTATGTGGTAGAATTTTTACCCTTGAATCATCACCCCTCCCAAGAAGCTTTGGTCCCAAACGCCTGCCTAAACAATCTAAAGCATAAAATCAGTAATCAATGAGACACTGTCGGGCATAAGAATCAGTAAAAGTAGTAGAAAAAGATAACATACATACATACGATATCTACAAAACACATTCCAAATTTCATTGGTCATCCCAAAATGGATTTTAACAAGAAAAGGCGAGAGAACAGAAAGAGGTTTGTATTATTTACCTGATAGGAAAAGTATGTTCATGACCACAAAATTATCCTAGGAGAAACAAAGAACTTGACATAGGAATGGGTAAAGTTTGATTATAGTTTTTTGGGTACTGTGGGTTTCCGGGCTAGCTTGCATGCACCGTCTAACCCCTTGCGCGACCACGAATGGCCTGGAGTCATTGTTGGTCAACCTCCATGGCCACAAGGGTTTTGGTGGCATCTGGATTCGAACTCGGGGTACATGAGATTTCCACTACATCCCCACTGAGCCTTAACCAGTGTCCCATAACCCAAGTGGTTTAATTATAGTTTTATGCGCCCTATAAATGTGTAAACCAAATAAATAATAAAACAAACGAACACAAAGAATCCCATACAGATGAGTGTCTGGGAAGGGTAAGATGTAGTGGGATTACATCTACCTCATGGAGTAGAAAGATCAAGAATTCAGTAGATTCAAACTACAATATTTCATCCATCAACTGTCAACAGCTATTTGTCGGTTTCTACCCAACCATAATCGAAATCACAATCGATCCAAATTTCCATTTGATTCATCAGATGCAAGAAATCGAGTACATAATTTAACCAACACACTTGAATGTAGCTCATTCAAGCTTCTAATATTTCTCAAGAATTTAATCTTAATGAATACGATTCTAGAATCAAATCACAAATGATACCCATTTTGGTTGCTAATTAGGCATCTGAATTCTGAACCCAATACAACTATCAGGCGATCATCCCTTTAACTTGAAATGAATCAAATTCCACTCAAAACTAATCTACCTACCAAACATTGGGATATGCTAATTATCACATGAAATAGAATCAAGATCTAGAAACACCAAAGAATTCCAGGTTCATTTGTAGTTCTCAAGTCCAATTGAAGCAATCAATAAGCAACAAAAAGCAATAAGATAATATAAAAACATCAAGATCTACTACGCGATCACAGTTTCACATTGAAAACACAAGTATATCCATAATATTTGAAATCAAAAACTAGATCAATAGACGATTGATTCATAATAAGTAGTATTGTACCAAATGAGGAGCACTTGTTGACACCTTCGAGAGTAACAAGAGCTGTAAGGATGAACACGAATGGCAACAAGAATGCAAGAATAAGGATAGTATGAAATAGAGTACGGTACGAAATATGACGAGCTGCGACCTTGATCTTCATCAAGTCAACAAATCCATTGCTGCTCGATATCGTTAAACTTTTCATACTAGGTGAGAAGTGTAGCTGCATAATGATCCCCTAAATTCTTCTCAAACAAAAAAACCCTAACACCACCGACGATGAACTCCCTCCGATTGATCCTTTCCAATGCATATAATAGTTTCCCCCAAAAATGTCTCATCGTAATCAGATTCTACCAGATTACACGAACAATATTGACACTCTTTGCTCCTTATAATCCAATGATTCAATCCCTTTCTGCAACACCAATGCATTGGATCGATTTCATTCAACGAAAATCGTGGAACTAGGGTTTAAAACGCAGTTTAGAAGTGTATAAATCTGTAATTAACACAGCAGATCAGTGGGTAATGATTTGTATCAATCTCTCTCCCATGATCAGGAAGAATGGGGAGAGAGATAGAGACCACGTATCCTATCGAACGGTCCGATCTAAGTATTAATTTTTCTATTTTTCAAATAAATAATATATTTTTAGGGAAAAATCGGATTACTGTGATTCTAACCGGTCCCACACATAATCCATCTCTAATACGTTAACCTTTAAAAACACTGAAAAGCCATCTACATATGTTTTACGTCCAATCATTCTGGATAACGCTTACATCTTTGTATTACCGTGGTTGCTGGCACAAAGTTAGTCGATGCTTATTCTCCAGTACCGTCATTGCTTCTTTTTCGGGAAAAGAAGTTCACGACCCATGGGCCTTCTATCTCCACGCGGCATTGCTCCGTCAGGCTTTCGCCCATTGCAGAAAATTCTCTATTGTTGCCTATCGTAGGAGTCTGGGTCATGTCTCAGTGCCAGTATGGTTGATCATCCTCTTGAACCAACTACTGATCATCGCCTTGGTAAGTTATTACCTCACCAACTAGCTAATCTGACACGAGTCCTCCTTGGACGGTTTCCTCTTTTTGCTCCTCAACCTACGGGGTATTAGCAGTGGTTTCCAGCTGTTGTTCTTGGCTCACTCGGTAAGATCGAACCCAAGACTTATATTTGTGTAAAATCGTCATACATTTTTTATTAACTGAGCTACACGTCATATGTTATTAAATAATATATCAAAACTATCAAACGTACTAAGTTTAATCATAATAAATAATATACGAATGTATAAATAACAGTACAAGAACCATAAAATTAGCCGAGGTGATTTTAATACAGTATTTTGTATAAAATATTAACGTAATTATTTTATTATTTAATGATACCTAACAATCTTATGTGTTTATACAAGAACAGTAAAATTAGTTGTTTACTCGATAGGATATGGTGTGAAGTAAAAGCATCTTCAATTTGTGGATGTAAAAAAAACCGAATCTTCACAACAAAAATTCACAGTGTTTTGCTATGAAATTTCAAGTGTAAAAATCGTGTCTCACGGAAACAGGTTTATCTCACATGATCTCAAGTGTATGTGTGTGTGTGTATATATATGTATATATATATAGGGGCTGGTTCAAATACTAACCCAATATTTTGTRCAAAYTRTGYTAACCCATCTTAATCGTTCATTTTCTCATCTAACGGTTATTATTAAATGAGATTAAATAAACAATAATTTAATTAATATATTAATTAATATGTGTATGAAC